ACAAATGCAAATGAATAGACATCAGCCGCTTTTGTATATTCTCCCCCAATTAATACTTCAGGAGCTATATAGGGTAACACTCCAGAAATGGTATTCTTTTGATGATTTTTAATGTTGTCAGTAATTAATTTACTCAATCCAAAATCTGATATATACATATCATTATCTTCCAAACTATATTTTAAAATATTTCCGGGATGGAAATCACGATGAACTATATCTAATTTATGAACCATTGAAAATTTTTCAGCTAATTCTTTTAAATTTTGTAATTTATTTTCCCAAGTGATATCATTAAAATTATTGTTTAAATAATTTCTAAGACTTCCACCTTTATAATAACATAAAACCATCATATATTCATGAGTTTCTGGGTCTTTTGTAATTCCGTAAAGATAGGCTGATGACATGTCACCATTGGTTTTCAAGAGAATTGCCATCTAAATAACATATTTTTAATTATAATTAATATATTATATATTTCAAATAAATTTAAAATATTATTTTACCTCATTTAAAAACTCCTCATTTATATCTACAATACCATTAAACTTTTTTAACGCCACTTCCCATTGACCTCTTCTTTTCCATTGTTGATTTTTAATATTCCAATCTTTAATACTTCCATCAACCCACTTAGCATAATAAATAGTACCATAACCACCTTTTGCCATTTGTTTAATGTCTTGAAATCTATCATAAGGTATCCATTCGATTACTTTATAATAATCAGCATTTAGTTGAGTATCTCGAATAAGTTTATCGATTGTATCATTTCCGCTTTTCCATTTATCAAAATCATTTTTAAAATGTTTTGAGTTGCACGGTTTGCACCACTCATCAATATAATTATATTTTTCATTGCATTCTAGGCATTTTTTAGACATTTTCTAGAAAAAAAATAAAAAAAATTTGTCTATCAATAAATTTTTAAAAGGTAGTATTTATGCGTACAATTCATTAAATATATTTGTCAATCGGAGTTTTTATTCAACACCCGAAATTTAACAACTTTGAAATTTTCTCGTTACACAGGTGTAACACCACGCCATTGGAAAGTTACGCAAATCAAAAATGCAATTACGTGTAATATCTGAAGCAAGTGGAGTAAAAGTATCTTTATTACTGCTTGCACACTACCAAACTGAAATAGACTTTTTAATGTAACTTGCCAAGAAATAAAAGAAATAGTTTATTAAAATTTATTAAAATTTCGTGTAGGAGTATAACAATAGCAATATATTACTGCTTTGGCGTATCTTATCACTTTGCTTCCTCCTGCTCTAAATTAATCATTAAAATTATTACAGAAGTACAACAATAGAGATATATTACTGCGTTGGCGTATCTTCTATTGCTATACGAAATTATTTTATTAATACTATTATTACCAATATTATTTAATATTATTTCGGAACTATTTACTATTACTAAAATTATTAAGAAATTATTTAAGTATCAAAAAAAAAAAAAAGAATGTTTTCGCGAGAAAGGAATCTCTTGTTTTTCTTCCTTTTTTCCGCAGCTATTTTATATCTTACCCTTTATTTACTTATATCCACCATCATCCATAAACACGAGGATATTATCTTTCATCTTGGATGAAGGATGATGTGCGACGCACAACACCATGTTTAGGATGTTTTCGTGCCACCTCAATATGATCAAATTTAAAATTTAAAAGGTTAAGACTTATGACACAAACCTAAAATAGAAATTTTAACCGATTTGCTCTTTCCAGACGGTTTTTATTAGACATATTTCATATATATATATATAATTACTTCAAAATTGGAAAATACTATTTTCAAAAATTCTGAAGAGTTTTTATTGGTCAAATTCAAGATGTAGCGATGCGTTACATAAGAATTAAATAAAAAAAAAATTCACAAACTTTTCTAAAATTATGAAAAAAATGGCATTTAAATTTTAGAAAAGTTGTCTCAAGACTTTTCAGAACTTCAATAATAACATTGTATTCTTCTTTATCATTAAGAAGTTGATAAGGAGCAAAATAAAAAAAAACATTCACTGCACACTCGACTGTCTTACGTTATCATTCATCATACTTTAATAAAATATTAACAAAAACTATTCCTAGCGATGATAATAATAAAATTATTACTAAACCAAATATTTCTGTTCAAATATTCGAAATTATTCTCAAGTGGCCTTATTATGATTTGATTATTTACATGCATTAATAGAATATCTTTTGTTTGATATATATATTATGAAATATTGTGTTGAATGATTTGAATAACTCTTTATATACAGTATATACCTATGACGGAATTATTGATATGGAAAATATGGATACAAGAATTATTTACGATTTGATGGTTGTTGCTAACGAGCTGGAGTTTGAAGAATTATCCGAGAAATTAGAAAATTATTTCATTGAATTTAAAGCTTCTTGGTTAAGAATTCAGTGAAAATTCAGAGAATTTTAAATCCATCCAAGGATCGAGACCAGTTTCATTTTTATATTTTTTATATAATTTAAAATGAATTTTATCCATTAAAACATCAATTAATTCAGCTTGCCAATTCAGAAATTCGGGAGTTAATATTTTATCAGATATGGTTTGTGTATTCATGTTGCTATTTTATATAGCTGCATAGCAATTTAATTCCCCGCATTGGATATCATAAAAAAATGTCTTATAACCTAACTATTTTCAGGCTTCGAGTGATGCAGATCTACACAATTATTTCGAAGCTAGTATAATAATGTCGATTCCAGATGCTTCACATTTAATATAATAAGATCCATCTTTATATTCTCCACAGATAAATCGTGCCTTAAGTCTTGCTCTACTCTTTTATTATATAGAATTTTTATTCCAGCATTTAGTGCTTGATCGATAACAGGGTTTACATCATTCTGTATATCAGAAAAGGAAGATGTATTTTGTATTGATCCTTGACTCTGAAGTTTCTTTTTCCAATTTCTCTCTCTTATTTCATTACTAATCTGTTCTTTGTGTACCCAATTCAAAAATTTGATCTCTTTATTATCAAAAGATTTAGTTTCTATGCAAATTGGTGATATGGAGCATTGAGTCTTTGTCTCCTGGCATATATCTTTAGATAATTCTGAAAAAGTATTATCAGATGCATCAGAATTTGGAGCATTATTGAATTCATCAGAATTTGAAGTATTATTAGATATATCAGATGCAGGAGTATCATCACATCGTAAGTCTATCTTTTCATGAGTATTATTAGAATTTTTCATTTCGATAGATACAATATTAGGCGCAAAGTGCTCTGCTTCGCAGATTGAAGATTGATTAATTCCCTTGGCATCATCATCTAATTTAACAATAAAGTTGTTCTTTTAATCAGTTTGCGATTGCTTCTGTTCTAATTTCACAACTCTAACTTTAAGTTCAGCATTTTCAACAGCAGTATCTTTATCATTCTGCTCCAGTTTCATAAATCTGAATTCATGTTTTTCCAAAGCTTGTTTTAATTTTATGTTCTCAGCTTTAAATTCAATGTTCTCAGCTTTGACTTCAGTATTCTTATTTCTAAGTTCATCAATCTGAGGAACAAGCTTGGAATTTAATTCTCACAAGGTATTGATTATGAATTGATCATTTGGCATTGTTTTACATAAAACACAGTTATATTCAAAAGTTTAATTGTATTATAAATATTGGGGTGTAAAAACTAAGCTAATGTGCCTTTATTAATTATAATTGTTTCTATATTATTGCCTATATCATAAGGTTTTTGTTTGTCTAAATTATCTATACTAACAAAATTAACTGTCAAATTCATTTGTTATATGAGTCAAAATTGAATTGACCATAGTTAATCGTTACTAAGTTTGAAGGTCAGATGTTAGATAAACTAATTATATCTAAAGATGTGTAATGCAATTTTTATTAGCTCTACAGTTCTTGCCAACACGTTGAGTGTACCTTTATATTTCTTTCAGTTATGTCAAAGAAATCAAACAAATCTGATTATTTCTGTCACTTTGTGACCTACCAATACTGTAAACTCCTTTAACTAATACAACAGCAAATCAAATTACACAACAAGTTTCGTAAGGAGACATAAATAGTAATACATTTATAACTCAAAAAGAAGAAATCTAATAACCTATCTCTATTTTTTAAAAAAGAATACAGCATTTAAACTAACAGGTGCACCTTAAGAGGGTAAGTGTATAAATAATATAAATCCCTCATTTAAAACTGGAGATAATGATAAAGTAATAGGAGAAAGTATTGGATTCACAAGTAAACAAGATATTTCACAACTTATCACAAAGAGATTATATTCTGCAGAAAAGAAAAAGAAAGTATCTAAAGATCCTAAACAAAAGAAAAGAAAGAAAGTAAATCCTGTCTAACAACCATTTATGATGCAAAATGCTTCACCATATTCTATTGTCTCAGATTTACTTGCAACAAGAGCCAATATCACTTCGGACAATTAATGATTATGCCTTATTATAGAAGCAAGACACGAATGTCTTTGACACCCAAGCATATAAGAATTGTAAAAATAGTTAATCATATAATGGTAGAAGGGAACACACATATGACTTGTAAAGTACAAGTAGCTGGATGGAAAGTTGAAATAATACTTGATAGCAGTTCATCTATCAGTATCATTTCAAAGAACTTTATGGAGTCCATAAGATAAAGAATTGAGAAAATATCTGGAAAAAAAATAACTGGTATACATGGAGAAAGATGTTCTAGTTTAGAAATTGTAATACAAGTATCTATAAAGTTGAAAGAAATTGTGATAACTGTCAACATGGAAGTTATTGATGCAGCAGGTTGCACATTAATTCTTGAGACAGATTGGTTAAGGAAAGTACATGCTATAATAGACTATCAAGAATGTAAGTTAATCCTAAAGGATGATAAGAAAATGGTGCAAATTTCCTATAGAAATACTAGAGCTACTGTCTTGAACAATAATAAAAAAGAGGATGATAGTGAGAAAGAATATATAGAGAGTAACTATGATTCAGATACTGATGAAGAAGAAGTAAACTTCATAGAATTAACTTACAAACTTCTGTATCAAAAATCTTATATGAGATATAAATTTACTTCTGAAGGAATGCACAAGAATTCAAAGCTTGTTACATGGGAATTGTATCATCAGTTATTTTATTGTTTTGATCTGGTTAAAAGAAAGAAAAGTGCTTAAGAATGATGCAAGACAACAGAACCTAATTCCTATTGCTGATGTGATATATATTTAGAAACAAGTTAGGATATATGTGAAGTCTACAAAGAATATCAACAAGATTATAAGACTATTTCCATTATACCACGAAATAAAATACAAGACATTTGTTGTAATTTGATATGAGGAGGAGTAGAGAAGCTTGAAGGAAATTAGTATAAGTCACAAGTTTACAAAATTATCAAAAAATTTCTGAATTTAATAGCCAAAAATCTTTTAGAATTAGGAAAGATAAACTTTTTTTAGCATATAATAAATACTGGTGAAACAAAGTCAATCAAATTAAACCCCTATAGAACCTCATCCCGATACTTAAAATTTTTAAAGAAGGAAATAGCAAATATGCTAAAGAACAGATTAATTCGAAAGTCATTCAGTTCTTGATCTGCACCTATAGTCATAGTAAACAAGAAAAATAGAAAATATAGACTTTGTATAGATTATAGAAAATTAAATGTGGTTACGAAGTCTGATACCTATCCAGTATCATGAATAACAGACATGTAGATGTTTTAGAACACTCTGTCTTCTTTTCAACTCTAGACCTTGCTTCAAGTATACCTGCCATCCAAATTCAAAATTCAAATGCCAAAATCCCAAATGCTGAAATCCCAAATTCCAAATTATGATTAGTATTTTTTGCTAAAATCCCAAATCCCAAATCCTAAATACTAGTAATTTGGAATTTTGGCATCCCAAATTTCAAATGATTTGGGATTTGGACAACACGTATAGCTTCAAGTTTCTGGTAAGTAGAAGTATCTACTAAAGACCAAGAGAAAATTACTTTTATTACTCCATTTGGTACCTATGAGTTCCTTATAATGCACTGCTTTTTCTACTCCATTTGATACCTATGAGTTTCTTATAATACCTTTTGAACTTATCAATACTCCTGTAACCTTTTAGCAAGTAATAGAAGAGTCTTCCATGAGGTTACTTGGAAGTTCGTATTAGTATATATTAATGATATTATTATATATTTAAAAACTTATAAAGAATATCTGAAATATTTAAGAAATATATTTACACTTCTGAGAAATACCAAATTAAAGATAAACTTGAAAAAGTATAACTTTTTCAAAACAAAGTTAATATTTTTGAGACATATTATGACAATTGATGGAATACCTACAGACTCTTCGAAGATTAAGAAGGTGCAACATTATCCAGTCCTACAAAACAAGACAAATATGCAAGCCTTCTTGGAATTAGCCTTATATTATTGAAGATTTGTGAAAAGCTTTATCACAATTACGAAACTATTATATAACCTTACGAAGAGAAGTGTTATATTTGAATAGAAACCTGAACATTAATTTGCGTTTGATTCATTAAAAGGATGGTTAACTTCAGTTTCCGTAATGACCTACTCTGACTTTTTGAAATAATTTATATTAGCTACTGACATATCTGACTAGGGAATTGGAGCTGTACTCTTCCAGAAGAATACAGAAAATCTTGAACACTCTATCACTTACACCAGTTGTCTTCTGTCATCCCTTAAACTGAATTATACAGTATTTGAAAAGAGTACTTTGCTGTAATATGGGCTATACGACATTTTAAACATTACTTACATGGCTTCAAGTTTGATTTATATATAGATAACTTCACTTTAGTATGGCTAAAGAATCATTCACAACTTAAAGGAAAAGTTACTAGATGGATTTTTGAATTATCTAAGTATAATTACAAAATTATTCATAAGCAAGAAAGGCTTAATATCAATATTATCAGTAATTATATTAATTCGAAAACCTTCGAAATTATATTGCAACGTTAGATTTCGAAGGTTATCGATTGTGTCGCAACCCTTCGAAATCAAAATTTAACGGTTAAATTTCGATACG